TCCCTCCATCCATCCCTTTCTCTCTCGAAATGTTTTCCTGATGACCTTGTATTATTCGCCCTCACAGCACCATCACATGACAGCATCCTTTCTCTTCACACACTCTCGTGCCGGATGCGACCGTTTCCACGCACACACGCGCGCACACACACACGCACGCAGCAGGGAGGCACGTCCTCGAGCAGCTGCATGCACGCACACAAAAAGAGCCACGGACTTGCATAAACACATCCACAGACAACGGTGTTTGGTAGCAACCGTCTCCTGTGCTTCCTGTCTGTTGCGCCGGATGTGGTGCATTTTTTTCCTCTTGACAGCTGAGAAAGAACACACACTGTCTGAGAGACACATATCGACAGCACATCACATTGTACTTCAGCCACAAATGAGTTGTACTTGCATCGCTAATTCTATTAACGCCTGCTCGGTCTGTAGGATTAGTTGATGCCCTTGCAAATTGCAATGACTCTACAATAAATCTATTGTGTTGTAAAGCTGAATAAAAGATGAGCGTGTTTCTCTCAGCATCTTTCATCCCTTCACTCTATCATCTTTTAGGCACAATCTGTGTCCAATCCATCAATACTGAGGCTGATTGATCACAAAAACCTGCTGCATGATTAATGAATCAAAGTTGAACTGTTTTGTTGGATTCTCTGTGTGTATATATTTGCACTGCCTATAATACATCCAACATGGCAGGTGGATTCACAGCGCACACTTACAGTAGGTATCATGAACATTAGGCAGCATCGTGTCTCTGCTCTTGCTCACTGCCAGCAACATTGTCTGGGAATGAGGTTACTAACATCTGGTGCAGGCGCGTTACGTGCACCGAGGGCACACTTAAACAGAATCAAATCTTCGCCTGTAGGCTTTATAGTATGTCACGGACGTAATTAATCCTTGGATTGCACCAGCACCGCCGCGCAGTATCATCAGAAATGAAACCAGCAAAAATGTGAGCAGCATAGAGACAGACAAAAGACTTCTACCTCGTGGAAAAGAGCCCCATTGATCCTGCCAGATACACAAAACCACAAGGTGCCTATATGCATTGCCATATAAGGTAGCACAGATCATGGTGTGATGTGTTTCTGTTCACTTTTTACTGTCAGGTATTTTTGAATCAAATAATCAATGTCACCAGCTTGTGAAATGCTAATATGTGTCTAAATGCCTGATGGAGTCATTAAAATGTCGCCTTCCTCACAACATTAACATGTAAAAATGTTTGATGAAGGAGTGTTGATTACCCTAACAATTGCTTTCACACATCATGTAATTAGATTTTCAATTTTTCTGCTTGAAATCAACATCAGGAGAACAACGACAGAAAAAGTTGAAATATGACGGACAGCGTAAATGATTTTATTCCATTAACAGTGAAGCAGTTGATGAATGTTTTCCCCAAACTGTTTGATGCACAGTCGGTAATTATGAGTCAGCAGCTCAGATTCAGTATGACACTGTGTGTGTATATTTATGATTAAGTGTGTGAACAGTGCTGATGGCCAAACTGTATTTATCTGTGAATGCTTGAGAGGATGTGCTGATGCACGTGCAGGTCTCAAAACCGTTTCCCCCTCGCCTCCGTCTGCGCGAGGGCCACTTTCAAGTCCTCTGCGGTGTGTGTGTGTGTCCCCAGAGAGTGTGTGAGGGCTTTGTGCAACTCCTCTGGGGTGACCAGGTTGAGGCGCAGCAGAGAGTCAATCAGCTGGGAGCGAGCGTTGCCGATGAATGAGTGCGACAGAAAGGATGCGAGGCCTCCCCCGCCTTTCATAGTGTAGAGCGGGACTCGGACCATTCCCAGAACCTGGAGAGAGAGAGCAGGTGATGAGGAACAGAGCATGAGATCACTCAAATGGTTGCAATCAGTCATTCTAGAAGGCGACACACACCCACACACACGCACACACGCACAACACACACACACACACACACGTTACCTCCTGTCCATGGTCTGCTGCAGTGGATGCAGCCGCTCTCTCCACCTCCCTAATCTGCTCCTCCTCCATCTTCTTCACGTAGAAGTGAGTGATAAGACGGGAGGAGGAGGAGGAGGAAGCAGGGGCATGGCAGGAGTCCACGTGATCTTCTACCAATATAGGAAGAGCCACACCCAGCTCCTCCAACAGTTCCCTGCTGAGTCCCGCCTCCAGGGTCTCCTCCGAAGGGTTAACGAGCCTGAAGCGTGGGAGGTGAAAGGTCAGGGTCAAATATGGAAGCAGATAAACAACATCAGCCATACTGCTCTCCTGAGACTCCTCAGGGCAGAAGTAAAATAAATCAAACCCACTTCAAAAGCTCATTGAATTTTAAAGCTCAAACTAAAGCTTTTGCGCTGAGCCGGCCTGAATCACGAGAACGTCACAAGTCATTGGATCCTGGTGGCGGTGGCAAGTTACAGACAAGTGAAAATGGTCACACTCCAAACAACTCATATAGCAAAGACAAGTTAATGTATATAGGTCTATTAGAAATTCCATCAATCCAACTGTACGTAGAGCAGTAAACGCCAACATCTGGAATAACCTCCTCTCATTGTCCAAATTGTTATTATTTGTGAGCCAATAGTTTTTAATATTGTCACAGAAACATGCTGATAGGTGTCATTTAGGGTTAGGGTTAGGATAGGGGAAGCTATGATTGTGGGTTAATGTACGTAGTATTTCAGTCCAACATTTCACCGGTGCTTAGATGCTAACGTTTACCCTAATTAGTACTGAACACAGAGTACAGCTGAGGCTGATGGGAATGTCTTTAGGTTTGCGGATATTTAGTTTTAAACCAAAATACTAGGCAAATTAAATTAATTAACAATTCATAATAAAGGAAACATGAATGCAAATGTCATAATAATCCATCCAATAGTTGTCTGGGATTATTTACTTAAACAGCAACCTAATGGTGGTGCAAGAGGAAATGTAAGGATTTCCAGATCCAGATGCATTCCCTTCTCTGGGGGCCCACGATGGTAAATTGTCCTTGTTAAAAATGTCATTGGCAATGTATTCAGTAAGTTCTGAAGCGATTTTGTTGGACCCAAAGACCATTGCCTCCTCTTAGAGGCTAGAGCAACGGCAAAAAGTCCAGTATGCAGTACACTAAAAGAATCATTGATTTTGTGTTGATGAACACTATTTTTCCACAATGCACTGCACAAAAGAAATATAATGACTGAAATTAATCTTTTCTAATTTTAAAAAACGTTTCTGCCTGTCATTGATGTTAATTGGAGATGACATTCCAAAGTCTGAGTAGCTGATGATTTGCATGCTAAGTGCAAACCCAGTATACTAATAGCATTTATATATGGAATGTACTGTATACATTTAGTGTGTATTGGGACACTGCTGCTGTTGTTTGCTAATGCAGTTTTCCTCCCTTTTGCATATGTCACCATCATTTTTCAGGCTTTTCTTCTTGCCATGTTACATAATTTCACCGTGTTGGCGAATGATGCCCCAGAAATTCTGGCAGTGACTACTGTAAATCACAGATACAAAGGCACAAGTGATTCATATTAAGTTGAATACTAATCAAGTACTATGTGTCTGGCAAATACAGTTTTTTGAAAGAGTTCTTCTGCGGCAAGATGAGGTACCTTACAGGAGAACCTGTCATGCACATTTTCTCTTGTTTCACTGTTTCATCCTTGTGGTTTGAGCATTCTTGTGACAGTGTGTGTATATTTTGTTCAGTGCTGTGAAAGGTTTACATCGTTTGACGGGGCTCATCTGTGAAGAAAAAGAGAGACTTACAAACCTAAGCTAAACGTACCTGCGCACATAAGAGGATAAAACGATAGTGGCACCAGGAAAGACTCACCCACCAGGGAAACCCAGCAGACCGTCAAAGCGCATCTGCATCTGTGAGAAGTGACAGAGGCTGTTATACACTCACACACTGATGCAGCCACACACACACAGTTTTTATGCAACAGGCAGAAACATTGAAAGCAAAGGTCTACATCATTCGTGCATGCAATAAATTCCATTGATATACACTACTGCACTAACCACACACACTCTTTAACACATGCATGAGCGCGCGCACACACACACACACACACACACACTCACAGACACTTACACACACAGTGCACTCACCAGTATGATATGTCTGATGGGAATTCTCCCAAACAGCTTTGTTTTCGTGTCAGAGTAGAGCATCACATGGCATGCATGCCTGCAGCCTGAGCACACTAACGCCTCCGCCCTCGACAGCTGTCCACTCGCCATCTATACAAGAATATACACACACACAGAGCAAAATTCAGAGCTTACTGATCACTCTCCCCCCTCGTCATGTGCTGCCAATGTGACATCATCCCAATACACTTCATCTCTTTGTTAATTTCTCTCTCTCCCTCATATGTGCTTCAGTCAGCAGACCTGAGAGGATCCTACTGATCAGCTTGCAGGCCTGTGGGTCTGTATGCAGAAACAGCTTATGGATAGCTTCTTCTTTTCATTTCATTTTATGGTGGATTTCAGTCAGTAACTCTGAAGGATATGGAAAGGTATGCACAACCAGGAAGCTTAAAGGAAGATCTTGATGGGACTTGTATCAAAAACCTTTAGCTCCCTCTGCTGGTGTGGAGTAGGCTGACAACTGGGGGAATCCCTGCCTTGGACTGAACTTTTTATTGGTAAATATGAAGCCTATTATATATATATATATACAATAATTCACATATTTCGTGCTGAATAGTATGTTGGCTTTTATAAATCTTCATGAACAATGGTGTATAATTCATAATAGGCATGCAAGCTCTCACTCATTTGGAAAAACCACAACATTCTATTCAAACACAAATCTATGTTTTTTACTGAATAAGGGTGAGAATTAATGTTTATAAGACCTTCCTTAATCCAGAAGGTATTTTAATGAGTCATTCTGAATTTTTGTCTGTTTATAATGTCCACACCCCATATAAATGTACTGTTATAATGGATGCCAGTTCTAAGGGTGTGAGATTATACAGATTATTAAAGGGTAAAACTTTAAAACACTTACAATTATATGTGGAAGATTGCCTGTGAACATGTCTTTTGAATTTTATAAATATGATCTATTATAACACCTTTTATGATCTGTTGTCCTGACAAAAATATCAATAAAAATATACAAAACAAAAAACTTAAATAATAATAAATAAATAAATAAAAACAATGTAAAACAAAATAACATTTTAATAAATAAAGTGCAGTACATTTAAACCGTTCAGAACCACAAAGCCTTAAATACTCCTGTAGTTGTAGCTGTAGACAATTATTGCTGAACCTTTCTGTGTTATGTCTTACTTTATTATTTTGTTTGTTTTCTTTAAGTACGTTTTCTTGTTTTATTTAGCTTTTAACCCTGGGATATTTCTACTGCAATCGTTTGCTTTAAATCATGTTAAGTCATGGTATGGTGTTTTTCACCTGTTTTGGTCTATTGTGGTATATAGGCTATTATGAATTCAGGCAAACCCATTCAGACATGCTCTACACACATTACCTGCCACATATATGTCTCTTCCCATGTCATTTATAAAGGGACTAAAGTGCTGTCTCATTCTTCAGTCAGCAGTTTTAGCCCATCAACTTTCAGTCAGCAGAAATCGGACTTTAATCTTTTTGGTGACGACAGGAGCACTGATTGGCTGAATAAGCAAGTGGTTCCGTCTAGCGCGCCCCCACTGACCAATCAGCGGCGCCTAGTCAGAAGGAATTCAGCAGATCCGGTTTTCATACAGTGCTGGCGGCTGTGTTGATATTTCATCAATATCTTTCTTGTCCCGTCACAAAGGATAGAAGCAAACCTCCAGCGGTAATATTATTTAATAATATTATTCGGTTAATGCAGATCTACTCGCCGTGCTTGTGAAGCCTTAACAGGACGTTAAACATTGTCTGGAGAAACCTGCTAGCCTGAAGGTATAGCTAGTGTTAGGACCACCAGCTACCGACGGTGTTTAACGTTATACAGCATTGGCAATGTATAGGTAACTAGTATTGGCACTATATATGTAGCTTGTATTTATATATGTAGCTTGTATTTATATATATATATGTAGCTAGCATTGACAGTATATAGGTAAGTTAACTAGCTTCCTGCAGGTTCCCAGTTAGTGCTAGGTAAGGCAAGCTCCAAGAGGCCACTTTATGCACCGTTTAATGTTACTTTGTTAACTCATATGTGTAATTGTGTCAAATCTTATATTTATTTATCCATTTTAGCGTTTGTAATGTTTTAAGGTACATTTATGTCCCCAGTGTTTTGCACTGTCATATAAGGTTTATGTACATCAGTAATGGAAATACATTTAAGTAAGACTGTAAGTAAAAAAACTTTGACATCATATGACACAGTGCGGTGTGTGTTCCCCTCCCCTGTTGTTGTCTTGGACTCTTGTTTGACCACTTTCTGATTGTGGTTCATGTGTCAGGTACATCAGAATGGCCCAGGGGATACTAGACGAGGTGATGATGAATGACACACTGATAAAAGAATTGGCGGATGTGGCAAAAGATGCAGCGCTTCTGCAGGGCGTTCTAATGAGGATCCAGGAGACCCCCAACTCATCAGAGGTGAGGAGTAAAAACACAGGCCTTTTTAAGTTGACCTGCAGAGACCATGATAGGATTAAACACAACATATTAAAGTTGCATTGGCCGGCATGAAACATTGTCAATTCAAAGGCTTCTCTGCAAAATTCAATAAATCTTACAACGGCTGTGTCTCTTATGATGAAGACTGTCCTGCCATTTAAAAAATGAAGTTTTGACACAGTAAATTGCCACAAGTAAAGAAGTGGTTATCTGAAAGGTCAAAACTGCTTCATCATTTGAATGACAGTTGTGACAGAACCTGCCTGTGGGTCCGTTTTTACAAATGTATGCTGTGCAGCCAAATGTTGCTCATTAAACGTTTGGTTAAATGAGTGATTAATCATTCAAATATCAAACATTAAAAGAACGAGAGAGCAGGAATCATAAAAAGAGAAGAAAAGGACAGTCAGAGGAGAATTTTACATGGAAAGAGATGCAGTAGGTACACAGAGGCAAGACACGTGCAGATGAATGAGCATTGTGTTTCTAAACAACTCTAAAGATCTCTTGGACAACATGAAGTGAATAGGAAGATGAATCAGAACAGTCAAACAAAGATTAGAGGAAGAGAGACATAAGGAAGAGACCAGTGGACAAACGGCTGACCTTGTGTGAAAATGACCTACTGCCAACTTCAATATCATTTCTTCACGCTCACCTACTAGATTTGACGTAAGTTTTGGTCATGATCTTAGTATGACTTTAGTTTCACCCGTAGCAACACAGCCCAAACCTGACATAGAGCTGCAACTAACAGTTATTTTCATTATGGATTGATCTGTTAATCATTTTCTTGATTAAGTGCTTACTTGTTTGGTCCATAAAATGTTAGGAAATGGTGAAAAATGGTAATCACTGTTTCCCAAAGACCAAGATGACGTCCTCAAATGTCCTGTTTTGTTCACAACCGAAAGCTGTGCAGTCCACTGTCATCGAGGACTAAAAAAACCAGAAAATATTCACATTTGAGAAATCAGAGTTTGGAAATCTTTCATGAAAAAATTTCTTAAAACCGTTAATCGATTATGAAAATAGTTATAGTGATTAATTCAGTAGTTATCATGAACCGATTAATTGACTAATTGTTGCAGCTCTAGTCTGAATCTATTGCTGTCAGATTAACGTAAAGGCTGCAGGAACAGCTCAATACACAATTCAGAGAGAGATAAAAAAGCAAGAGCACTGTAATAAAGCAATCACTCAACAGGGAATTAAAGCTGTTTACCAAGCCAGGAAACACAGTGAATGTGCCAAAGTTGTTGCAGCAATTTTTCTGGTATTGAATTCTATGTTTTAGACATTATAGAACACACAACAGAGTCCTCTCCCTCTATTACTATTCTTCAACAGCAGTGCCGCTTCCTCTCATGCACCCAAACACCATAAGGAATATTAATAGTAGAATGCATACTGTACATTTGTACAGTCTGAAAAGGCCTATTGAAACATCATTCCCAAGCTAAAGAGTAACAGAGCTCACACTGGCTGCTTAGTTGATAATGAAACAAAGGAATTGATTTACAACTGAATACACAACTGGCATTTCAGTTGTTTAATGCAGTCATGTTTTAGATCATTTCTAAAAAATGTTGTTTGCCTTTTTAATTCATTTAAAAAAAGCCTATATGATATGAACAAAGTGAGCCACAGCCAGTAAGACAGGACATGATCCCAGACCAGTGGGCTGTTAAGCCATTGCTGTTAAAACCGGCGTGTTCACTGTGAAGTCATGTTAGGAATTCATTACGCTTTAGGGCACAGGATTTAGGACAGATCTTTATTAAGCTTGTGTTGGCAATTACAGGGATTTGTAGCCCAAATGCTTATTTTCTCTCCTCACATTCCATCGGTGCTTGTTTTTCGAAGTCGGCATTCTTCTCTTACATATAACAACTTGTTTTCCAGTTGGTGACCTACGCCCCGTTCACCCTCTTCCCCACACCTGTGCCTAAGGCTGTGTTCCTCCAGGCTCTGGCAGTGCAAACACACTACAACACACTGGTGGACAAGATCAGTCAGGACACAGACTTTCTAGAGGAGGCTCTCTCCAGGTAGCTCTATTCCCTCCAGTAATGATGCATTTTCACAGCATGCTGAGATCAAACTTCTTCTAAAGATCACATTGTTAGTTTGGCAAATTTTGATGAAGTGGTTTTCAGAATTTTAAGGGAGTGACGTTCTTTTTTTTTTATAGCACCATTGCAGTGGATGATTTCACTGCGAGGTTGTTCAAGATCCACCAACAAATCCTGAAAGAAGGAAGGTCTCAGGTAGGTGATGTTGAAAACCTCTGTCAATCTGTCAAATAGGTGGCCCTTGCTGATACTGGCTCATTTCTTATTTAAGATTATCAGTTGCTTTACGGTTAGAAGCCTTGTCGCCTAGCCAGGAACAACAGAGCATTTGTTTGCATTTCATAATTAGAATGAAATTACAAAAGGAAAAAACAACCTGCCAAACAACATTCTGCAACCGCTCCCATCGTTTGATCAACTCAAACTCATAACCATCCAAACACATTTACAAACAACAAATAACAACAGACGACTCCTGACCATGTCACAGTTCATGTAAATACATAGCAACCAAAATATAATGTGGCTTGTGAGACAAATAACACTTTTTGATTTAGTTATTATAAATCAAGATGAATAGTTATGTTCTGTGCCACTGCAGTGTTTCTCAGTTTTCTAAGCCAGTTAAGCATTGATAGTTTCATGACTTTACAGAACCTATAGCGTTTTAAGTGCAGCATTGCAATATGCAACAATATACTACAACAAATACAAGCAGGAATAGACACAGCATAGATAATAATGGCACAAGCCTGCTTAAACTACCTAAACATGGACTTTCATTGCAAGAAAGGAGGCCTGGTCAGATAGAGGTTCTTCATCTTCCTAGAGGAGGATCAATAGTTGTCAGTTTAGCAGTAAAAGGGGAGTATAAAGTAGGCTCAGGGCAAAGAGAAACATGAAGTTGAAGGCCTTAAATCTGAATTTGCACACTTACTTAGATTGGGATTTTATAGTATTTTATAGAGCTAAATGTGGGATCCAAATGAAGTTATAAACCAGTTTATTAGGAGTTGGGAATCTTCCTGATTAAACTATCTATGAAAGTCAAAGTTGTTCTATGTGACTCTTCAGATGTCATTCCTGTTGGGCATTGAAATAACAATATTAGGACTGCAGCCAGGGATTATTTTCATTATCCATTAATCTGCTGCTTCTGTTCTTGATTAATTGACTATTTACCTGGTCTATAAAATGTCAGAAAATATAGATAGCTTACTATTGCATAAGACAGGAAAACCTGCAAATCCTTATAATTAACTAGGGACAGTTTGGTATTTTTGCTTGAAAAGTAATAAAAGTGATTAATTGATTATAAAAATTGTTGCCAATTAATTTTCTGTTCATGGGCCAAATGGCTCTTGTCTGGGCCTGCACATAGCAGTCTGTACTGAATGTTTGGCCATGTGCCTTGATCATCAGTGATCTAAGTAGTCTGATTCTTTTCCTTCTTCCCAGTCTATCGTGTTGGGTCTCAATCGGTCCGACTACATGCTGGACCAGAGAGACGATGGCTCGTCGTCTCTGAAGCAGATAGAAATCAACACCTTTGCTGCCAGTTTCGGAGGTCTCTCATCACGCACGCCAGATGTACACCGGTAAGTCAGTCATTAGCATATCACAGCATATAGACCGGTATTTATAAAGTGAGGGTTTTTGAAATGTGATGAAATTTCTGTAGCTGGTGCTGAAAATAAGCGTCAGGAGGGTTCAACAGTGGCCCCAGGCAGTGAGGTTTGGTCCATGGTCCTCTTTAGGCAGCTACTGTTCCTGTTTTTTAAAAACAAGTCTCTTGCCTGGGGTGTGTTATTGCTTTAATTAAGATGAAGAAGTAACTCCCTGAATAAAGTGCAGTCAGAAAGTTATTATATATTAATTGCTGCAATTAGCATTGCCATAAGTATTTATCATCTTACCCGACAGACACGTTCTTAAGGTGGCTGGCCGACTGGAGGAGAGCCAGAACATTCTAGACAACAACCCTGCAGCTGGTCTAGCCAGGGCTGTGGCCAAAGCCTGGGAGCTCTATGGATCAGAGAGGTAGGACTTAAGTACATTCACTGAATTCAGCCTTATTAAACTGCATGTCATTGTCTAATGGACTTCTTTACTTTACTCACTCACTGTTCCATCTACTTTGAGAGATCAAGGGCTGGATACTGTAACAGTACTGACCACATGAATTCACCTTACAAAGAGCCTAGAGTACAAACATCTTACTTGTGGAATATTCTTACTGTTTCTTAAACACCAGCTGCATCATACCAATACCATGCACTAACAGTGGATGGAAACCGTCAAGTCTGTCCAGTAGAATCCAGTACAACGTAGAAGATCTCTGCTGATGTTAGCATATAGGGCTGCACAATCAATCGCAATATTATCGAAAGAAAAACAATATGGTCAATTTCAAAATGCAAATCACAGGAAGCTGCAATTTTTTGATAAAGGTAAAATGTGTGAAAAAACTGTATGATAATGAAGTACTGTTGTTTTGCAGAGATACCCTGATCTACAAATCCTGTTCTCTTGTTTGGTACAGACCTCAGCAACTGTCACAACATCATGATTTTTCAGTGAAAATTAAATGTATGATGCCAAAACGATCATTCCAACACTCATTGGGAATCATATCACGATCACAGCCCTATTAGGATACCCTTTCCTGCTAAAGTAATACACTTGGCATTATGTAGTTGGAAGCATAAGGGTATAGGTACCATATGTCAATCATCAGACGTAACACCAGACATACTGTAACTGCAAGGCCTCATTCTGAGTGGATTTAAGAAAGAAATGTATTAAATCAAATTCAGTATTGTAACCAGATGTCCAGTCTGTCCAGTGAGTGTTTTACAGGAGCAATTGTTGTCGTTACAGAGCAGTGGTCATGTTCTTGGTGGAAGAGAGCCAAAGGAACATCTTTGATCAGCGATACATTGAGAGTGAACTGTGGAAGAGGTATGTGTGAGCACCGAGGAGCTGTTCTTGAAGAAACAAGCCAACAGCTTTAGCCAACATTATATTTGTTATGAAAATAGTGCATCATTTTAATGGAAGACATGACCACAACTGCAACTTAGATCCACTGACTCGAGATAGTTGCCTTGTCAATATGTTTCAGAAACATCCCCACAAAAAGAAAACGGTTCGACGATGTTTGTAAGACAGGGTCCCTCGATCAGGACAAGAGGCTGTTCGTGTAAGTCTCTTTCTGTCTGCTAAATCTCTATACATTGTATGCAATGTGCTCTTCATACAGTACATTGAAATGTATACATAACAGTAAGATATTATTATGATCACTTGTACTTACTGCGCATTTATGTTTCTCTCTTCTCAGTGATGGCCAAGAGGTTGCAGTGGTGTACTTCAGGAACGGCTACATGCCCCAGAACTACATTTCTGAACAGGTCTTCAATTGAAGCTTATATCCTAGTTGTAGCAGTTTTAGTAACTGACTGTGTGAAGTGCAGGAATGGACATGGAGGAGTAAAAACTGGCTGCGTGTAGTGTTGCCAAATGAAACAGTTGGAGTTACATTCTGAGGGACAGACTTTCTTTCTTCTTTGCTGCCACACTGGACGTACATTGGCAGACTAATCTAGCCTCTCAATAGTCTAGATTTAAAAATTAAACAAGATTATTATTCGATTAAGCAGAGCTATTCAGCTGTCATGCATGTCTTGCCAAACTTGGATTGGTTTTACACTGCAGGGTTTACGTTAGCCTCCATATACATACAGCGCTGTATGTATGTGAACCTCCTCAGCGTTCTGGGGTTAACTATTGTTTTACAACTATTTAACTATAGAACCAGTATTTTTTCATATAATATAACAGGTTTATGTTTATCAATTCCATATACTTCATTTAAAAGTATAGTAAATCAGTAGAAGTAGAATAGAATAAACTTTATTGTCCCAGAGGGGAGATTTGTCTACAGTGCTACAGTTTGTTGCTCAACCAGAAACAACGGCATTCACCTCCAACAACCAGACACACCATCAAAAAACACATTACAAAATCAACATAAAAACATCTTAAAACATGGAAGAGACTATATATTTTAACACTGACAATGTGGCAGCTTAAAAAGAGACTGTAAGAAACCATAAGAATTAAAGTGCTGTAAAAAGTATTTTCTGTGAACGTTTGTAGGGGCAAAAGTAAGTGAACCCTGAGCTGCATTGCTTAAAATGATCAGGTAAATACAGTCAACTGGCACAAAATTGTTGGCTAAATTAATCAATGAAATGAGAGATGTTTAAGGAAGAAATTGGGCGGTACAGCGTCACGCTGTCCTCTGTTTCCATCATCCCTCTGTTTCATCCCTCTGTTTCCTATACATATATGTATTTATAGCCTTCATAGCCTTTGTGTTCTATTGTTGTTTAAATGTTGTTTTAATGCTGCTATATTTAAAACATACACCAGTAGTTGTTCTAAATGGGCAGAATTCTGGAATATTAACAGATATACTGACAGTCAAAAAAAAAAAGGGGTAGCATGAGGTGTGCACTGTGCAGCTGTTTTAAGAGCAGTATGAATATCTGATCAGAACTACAAATTGTCAGACTTTAAGCCAAAGTGGAATAAGTGTAAGTAAGTGGAATTTTATTTTGACTGATTTTTACCCAGTTACCTACTGCTTGTTGAAAAGACCGTAAGAAGCATGTTTTTCATTGTTTCTCATGTCTTTCAAAATCAATGTTGTGAACGCAACCTGACTGTGTGTTCAGTGCTGTACTTCATTCTTCTGTTGCTGTGTTGGGCCACATGTTCCCGCCCCCCCCCAACTAAAAAAAAACAAAACAAATGTCTTTATGCTCTGCTGCCCAGCGTGGCCTCAGTTTTGTCAGGAATGTTGACCAAGAGAGAGCAGGCATCAGATACTCTCAGTGAGCATTCAGTCTGAAAACAACCATGTGTTAAAATAGAAGTGGTTGCGTTGGTGGAATTTTTGTGTCAAAAAGGATGTTGTTATAGACAGTACGATATGAAAGACATTTTAAGGATTATGTTGCTATATTTATATTTGTGTGAAGTATAAATTAATGTAATTGGCTCATATGGCATATGTTGCAGTGCACTGTAATGTATTGATTGTCTGCATTCAGTTGTATTGAATCATTGGTTAGGTAAAATGTACTTGATGTATCAGAGTTCCTGCCAGAAGGAGGGAAACACATTTGTGTTTTTGTTTTATAAACTGTAGACTTGGGATGCTCGTCTTCTGATGGAGCGCTCTCTGGCTGTGAAATGTCCAGATATCAGCACTCACCTGGCTGGAACCAAGAAGGTCCAGCAGGTGCTCGCCAGGCCTGGAGTTCTGGAGAAGTTCTTCCCAGACCAGCCCCAAGTAGTGGAGCAGATCAGAGCAACGTTCGCCGGCCTCTACACTCTAGACATGGTGAGAAACACATGAGTACATCACAGTATTTTACTGTGAAGTAAAAAAGTACAACTTGAAAGTGTGATTTTTACACTTACAATTTAGTCAAATCGTTGCATTCTAACACTCTAACAGCAAGTTTTCTTCTTTGTTGTTGTTGTCTGTAGGGACCAGAGGGTGACAAAACGGTAACAATGGCGTTGGAAGAACCAGACCGCTATGTCCTGAAGCCTCAGCGAGAGGGAGGAGGTACGATGAGAGAAACAAATCTGTTTTTCCATGCAGCAAGTCCTAAAACCCCTGCCACATTGGTCATCATTGCGTAAACCAGGAGAGTTTGAAATGTCAGTCCCTCTGTGGTAGAGTACGCCACAGTAAGGACTGCGAACAGCATTGAAAGTTTGGTCCCAAAGGTACACGTGCCAAAGCTGTCCTGCCAATGTAGTTGGAACTAGTATTTAGCTTTTTGTCTTTGGCATCCAAACCTGGGCAAGTAAATGAATAAGTTGTTTTAACTAATGTCGAATTACTCCAAAGTAAGTCTCAAAGCAGACAAGTCCAGATCAGGACTCAAGTCTGGTTCTTTAAGGTTTTTCCACACTTCATTACACCATTGTTTTTCTAGGTAACAACATCTATGGGTCAGAGATCTGCGAGGTCCTGCAGGGAGTGAAGGGCAGCACAGAGAGGATGGCCTACATTCTGATGGATAAAATCCATCCTGCCCCTGTACAGAACTACCTGCTGAGACGAGACGCTCCTCTTCAACTCAGTAACTGTCTCAGTGAACTGGGGGTGTTTGGAACCTATGTCAGGTATGTAATCACTATGAATAGAAGTTTTTGTTTGTTGAGCTTAACTGCTTCTCGATAGCGTTATTCAAAGTCTATTATTATAATCATGTAGAATTATGAAGCTTTTTGATTGGATCTCGGTTTTATACTCAGTGCCAATAAGTAGGTACTCCTTCATCCTCTCCCTCTCTACGGCATTAGCTTCTCAGCCCAGCATTAGAAATTAGACTGTAGCAGCCAAGTTCAGCCAAATGTGATGCTCCAGTCATCTGATTGTTTAATTCAAGATGATATTTTACAAATAAAACAGCATTTTTAGTGTAAAATGTCCTCTTTGTGGGCACTACTGTATGTCCATTGAGGTGTTTTAGAGTAAAGATACTCGAACAAACTGTGGCATCATAAGCCACTCTCTATTTTAGTGTTATTCAGAATTAATCAAATGAGTATTTTTAATGTACACAGAGACTCTGCAGTTCTCCTCGGCTACGCAGAGCATTTTAGGTCCTGTTTATATTTCAACATTTACTGATCTTAGCTGTCATTTCTCTTCGTTTCTGTACAGGCAAGGTAAAGACATGGTGATGAATGAGTGTGTGGGTCACCTGCTGAGGACCAAGAGCTCCGAACACTCAGATGGAGGTGTAGCGGCAGGAGTGGCTGTGCTGGACAATCCTCTCCTCATCTGAGAATTTACACTCCTACCTGCTGGGTTTTCAACAGTTCCCAGATGGACAACAGTGAAATGAAGGTTGCACTTTTGAGCCACACTGTCACGGTTAAATTCAAAGAAATACTAGCAGTTTAGGCTCGCTGTTGCTTCCATTCCTCCAGGATTCTTCCGGCCATTGGAGGTGATGCAGTAGACAAATGTCTGTGTATTATTTCTAGTGTAGCTCGGTGTTTGTTATCTGCCAATATCAGTGGTTCCGAAAGGGTTTATGAGGACCATGATTGTGATCAGTTTTTGATATCATGATGATTCTATTCGTTACGTGCTGCTCTCAAATACTAAAAACTTAAGGGCTTAAACAAAACTCAGCAAGTGATTAGAACACATCATTCTAACACAATAACTTGCTCAGTTTGGTTACACATGTAACTGCCCTAATTCTCAATAAATACCGGAGCGTTTGTTTACCTCAAAAGTAAATCTTTTGATACTTGAAAAATACTTTCACCGTTTCGGGGACATGATCACTTTTCTTACCTGGAACCTTTTTGATATGATATAGTGTTTGTTTTGAGTTTGCATTGACAGCAGCCTAGCGTTGGAAACATGGTGGTGAAATTTGACCGCCATCTTGTGGCTCTCTTATGTTACTACAATATGTTAGGTTGGGTCCCTCAAATGCAGTTAAGTCACTCTGAGTTACTGACATCTCACAACATATTGCATATTAACTGAGAGAACACAGTTTAATTTCTGAAAGTGAAAGTATAGGATATTAGCAGGCTCTGTAAGAGTGTGTTTATAAAGTATGTCATTTATGGTTGCTTCAGTTTGACTGTAGAGAGCTTTTGGAAAGCAGGTTGTACAACTCTTGACAAAAATCACTCATGATGGCAATCAAGGTAAATCCCAGGTTGAAGTTTAGAAAAGTAGGCAAGAAAAAAACCAAGTGTCCTTATACAGCTGTTTTTGGCTGTTCACAACCTTTTATTTGACTATTTTTATCACTTGTACTATGCTAAGCGCTGCTTGTTTTATGATTGAGACAAGCAACTAACAAACCATTCACTGTATTCATACATTTTGCTGTAATTTCTCAACCCTGGAAACAAAATCAGTGGCCAAAATACCCCAATCATTTTCAGTAACTTTATAAGAAATAGCTAATAAATAAGAAACATAAAACATCGAATTATTTATTTTTATTGTACCTTTCAAACAAGAAACAGCTGATTGCAAATATAGTGTGCTATGATGTGATGGTCATTTTAAGATTTTCTTTTTTAATTTTGTCCATTATGATTATGTTAAGGTGAAAGAAATGTGTATGTCTATGTAAGGAATAGTCAAACATTTCACCATTACATCAAGGATACTATTATATTATATAATATATATATTATATTATATACTAAGACAATTAAGAACCTGTGTGATCATCATGTTCAATCGAGAAATAAACTGTCTATCTGTATAGCTGGGTTCTTTAAATCTCTGCTTATTTAATTACCTGACTGCTAACAATGAAGCACAGTAGTTTGACTCCAAAGAGAGCTTTGGGAGTGGATTCATTTGCCATGAAGTTGCAGAGTAATGGTTACTTTAGAATGACAGTAAAAGCCTCATACCGTCTGATACTCATGAACAGCACACAAGTGTTAAAGGGGCGTCAAGTAGATCAAGTAGAAAATCTGCCTTTCACATAGCAGTGAAGGGCAGATTTCATTGCGAGGCATAACTTTCTGTGCCTTTCCATGTGGATTGTCAGCTGTTGCTTCGTAACCTCTCCATCCATTCCTGTGGCACAAGGCGCACACACAGGCCTGGGCATCCTCTCCTTCCTAACTTACATCTTGTCTTGAATTAGAGAAGAGTGGATCCAAGAATGCAGTCAAGAGTTCTGATTGCGTAACTTCTATTAACCACTCTAATTTGGATTGTATTATCTACCCAGTGAAGAAACAAAAAATGTAACTTGGTACTGTTCCACAAGAAGCGGTATCAAGGAAGATCTATTGGCAGAAATGGAATATAACATAGGTATGTGTGTTTGCATTAGTGTATAATCACTCGAATATAAGAATCATTGTGGGTTTCTTTCCTTAGAATGAGCTGTTTTTATCTACAGAGGGAGCTGATCCTCTTCTGCGAAGTCCGCCATGTTGAACTGCCATGTTTTCTACAGTAGCCCAGAACAAACAAAACATGTAATCGCTAGATGCCGCTAAATTCTACACACCTTTAAACTAGAGGTGTGCAAATAATCCCTTGGTGCTGACACAGTCAAGCATGCTTACCAGAAGAGCGCCCACTTTTGCTAACAGTTCTTCATATGATCAATCTGATAAATATTGATGCATCTCGTGAAGATTGGATGGAAAATATGTGGGTCTCCAGTCCACAACTGTGATAGGCTCCTCGCTTTAGTGACACAAAATGGTATTGCCCAGGGACTTGTCAGATATAAATTAGTGCAGCTGATGTGCTACAAGACACCCCCAAAGGTCATTGGTCAAGTTAAATGGGAAATGGAAATGGCAATTTTTGTGTCCTAGTGGGAAACGGATTAGGAAGGTAGGTTGCACGGAATCAGAAGAATTAAAGTGATTCACTTAATTGTGTGCATAAAAAAGGTTTGCAATTGTTAGTAAAACAGATGAAATTGGATCGCAGTGTAAATACGCCTACTGCTTAATTTTTTCAGATATGCTGCCTGGGTGAGTTAACAGGTTACACCGGTCTTTATATATGGTAACCATGACTTGTGTCCTAGGTGATGGGGTCTGCGTATTATTACTCTCACGCCAACTAACGTCAGAAAAGAAATTGGACCTGCTCGGCTTTGTGAAAGCGAAAGGTGTACCACACACATTTACACGCACACACCACTCTCCGTCAAAGGTTATTCCCCCCTGGTTTAACCTGTGACCAGCTAAAGTCTCCTGTCACAGCCTGAAAACAGAAGGTGCAGAAGTCTAGTTTTCTGTCAGTCCACTTGAAGTAGAATATTCTGAAAGGTTATTATGGATTTCCCCCCCCAATGACGTCTAAAATACACTGCCTTACCCAGCTTTTAAAAACACTATAATCATGCTATCAGGTCACGCAGGTAAGAAACCATTGTGAAGGACATTCCCACGAACAAAGACATGAGAACATAATATGTAAAGCTGTGTACTGTGCCAAAATGTGTCACCTAGTAACGTCACGTCAAGTTCTTTAATCTCTGATTTTAGACACATCCCTGAGAGGGCAGGTGGGGAGAGACTGATGAGGCAGACTTGGCGACTTCACTGGCCTTATCAGTCTGCCCCGGCCAGTCAGGAGAGGGCTGTTTTCTCTTTCTGCCATACTTGGTTAACCCGACTACGCCGTTTGGTTTGTTACACAGAACCATTTGGTAAGTTGTCATTGGAAACTGTTTGGAAAAGGTCACTTTCCAAAAAATACTTGGCAGGTGTCACTGAATTTGCTTAGTTGTGGTGGAGGCAGACAATGGACTGAGCTTTAACCAACTCATCCACTTTGTCAATCAATCCCAAAAGGGTGCGACAGGGAAGAGGTCTGAAAAGAAGGCTAGATGCGCATCTTCCAGATGTTCGGGGGTCGAAATTTTGCCTCCTGTGGGACTACAGTCTTGCACTATCTTTAGGCTTAGCTCCCAAGATTATCGCAGTGGGTACAAATGCTGTGGGAAAGTTGTGGTCTCTTTTTTTTGAAGCTTGCGGGGTGTGGCTTGTTTAGACTGAAACACCATTGAGAGTGGATAGACACTTCCCTGCGAAGTTGGAGGAAGATGTAGATGTAGTTTCACTTGACACGTTATCGTGGTTCTTTATCTGGTACTGACTGTGACTGCAGCAGTGTTTTCTCAGACGTTCAGTTACACGGAAGTCCCTGGCACTCGTGGCTGTACAGGGTAAGCACATGTCTTACTACCATGTAATGTCTGCAGATTAACTTCTTACTGGCCAGAGCAAGCAAGGCAATTTGATTTATGTAACACCATTCATATACTGAGGGACTTTCGAACAGCTCTGTATACAGTTACACAGAACTTATAAAAGGAATGAAATTTCATTGTGCTTCGTAAAAGAAATGTTTAGAATGAATTTGAAAAAAGAAAATAGGAAAATGTATATATACATTTTTAAAAAAAGAAGAGGCAGGCATGATTTAAAAAATGGCAGTGGAAGGCAGTGAAACATTACAAGGGTTTAAGCCTGCATTTGAAAAGCTGTCACAGATCAAGGAGGTGAAAGTAACACGTCTTGCATAAAGCAAGTGGGTTCACACACACACGTGTGTGTGTGTATATATATACATTAAGTAAATTAAGTTCTCGACTATAGTTAACCGAAAGCTGTAAGCCTAAAGTCTGTATGATTGTTAGTAATGATAAAAAATACATAATACAGACAGGAAAAAAACTTCTTGTACTCAGAGTTCACTATTTGGGTTCGCTGTACAGTTTTGAGTATATTACGAAATATATCCATATAATATATGTGACTTAGTGAGGGGTTGTCAGTTTACTAAATGATAGAAAAGGGGTCCCTTCAGGAAAAAGGTTGGGATCACACTGATGTAAAGTAATGCATTTGTTGTATGTATTTGTTGTCAGACTGTTGTAAGACTAGTTAGGATCTACAGACCAGTCTCTTCTCACCTTCAAGTCTTCTTAAAAGTACTAAATTCCAAAACCATAGATCACTGTCTGCTCCTAGTGTGTGTGTGTGTGTGTGTGTGTGTGTGTGTGTGACTGCACGTCCATGAGAGAGAG